TGTTTGATGGGGTCAATAATGGAGGGGTCCCCTCAGATTATGTGTGGTCATATGCCTACAAAGTTGCGTGGTGATGGGTGAAACCCTTGAGATGTTATACACCTTTATGTGATGAGCCACGCCCTCCGCAATATTCATTGCCTTATAGAAGCTCAGTTTTAGTAAGTTTTCCAACTTTTGCCAAGAGGGAACTTTAGATATTGGTCCCTAGATTATGTTCACCGAGTTTCATACAGATTGGTCAAACTTCCTAGGAAGAGATCGATTTTAAGTGTTTTTCAAAACATTCAAAATGGCGGAAAATCTATATAGCCAGAAGTTATGGGTTCTTGAGGCAAATTTGTTTCTCGTGAGGAGAGACATCTCTGTGCAAAGTTTCATGTCTCTACGACATACGGAGCATGAGATACACCCATTCAAAGTTTGCAATTTCAATCGGTTGCTATAGCGCCCCCCTTTGGCCAATTGATGTAATATTGCTTCATTCGCATCCTCCCATGAGCCTCTACCACTGTGCCAAATTTCACATGGATTGACCAAGTCAGTGAGGTGAAAAACATGGAACAGACAGAGTTTTCGTCATGATAAAGTAAGATAAATATCAGTTTATCTTCACTTGATCTTTTTGTTGCTGCATTTTAATAAAGTCCATACTTTTCAGTTAAGATATAACGGTCTGTTTCTCTGTCCCTCATCTACAGCCACATGTAGGCTTTTATCACAGCAGACATTTTGACTTGTCATAGTAGGAAAAGCACAGGTGTTACTGATAACATGAACGATGGCTCTGTCATATTTAAGTGTCCTAGTAAGAGTAAGCAGGCACGCAGGAACCTGAAATCAAAGCAGCTTAATGGAATTCAGCCATTATTAATGTCATTATTTGCACCTGTGCGTTTGCTACTATGACATGTCAAAATGTTTTCCCTGGAAAAGACTCTTTCTCCAAACCAAACACACCTGCATCTCATTACCTCATCAGTCACTTTGCATTCATTCCCTGCCACGTTGTCAAAGTGCCTAATACTTTTGCCCAACAGCACCCAACAATGATAATATTACTAGAGATGTCCAACCTCCTTTGTTGAGATACAAATATTTCTAGATACACTTACTAACAAGATGGGGAGTCATCATCATAGAAGGAAAGACCAAAGTCCCCAGAGGACCAAAGAGTACTACTTAGTTGGGCATATGGTGCAGCAGAGCACATTTTATTGGAACTATGGAGACTGAACTCTAAAGATTTGAGCAACAGTGACATCTTGTGGCCACTTAGTGTAGTTGTATAAAAATACCCATGTGTAAAGAACAAAAAGTGAGATCACACAGAAGTGTGTAAATTATACATAGATGAGTGCAGGCAGTGTGTTCACAGTGGGAGAAAAGAACCAGAACTTTAATTGAAATATGTGTTACTGGACAGTTTCCTGATATTTCAGATGTATAACTGATAATTTTTCCTGAATGCTTAATCTTTGCAGCTCTAATGGGGTGTATTATGTATCAGTAGTTTTTTTTTTTTTTTTTTTTAAAGCAGTACTTTTTTCTCTATGGGTTCTTCAGATGTTGGCTACCTCTAATTATGTGTCCATTCCTCAATTACCCTCAGATCAAAAGAATTGAAAGGTTTTTTGATAAAAATGAATCCAAGTTGTGAGTATTGTTTTAACAGGACTGTGTCGGTATGCCAGGTGCTGTAATCCTCAAGTGACAAACTCTCTTTCTCTGATGCACGGAGCTGATGTGTCTGTCAGAGCTAGATCGCATGACTGATTCATAATTAATATGTTATCTGAAGCCAAAGTTTTATACAAGTAATATTCATACTGATTTAAATAAACAATTTGATTGTATTTTCCAATCTTTGCTGATTAACAGTTTTGTGTGAAAGAAATGAAAGGCCTGTCCCAAATATAGGCCTGTTGACTTCAATGATTTAAGCAAATAGTAGCCTGGGCTATTAAATGAAGTTCTACAGTATATACCTTATTGAATTTTAAACACTCCCTAACACTTAAAGCACTGAAAGATTTCATTTTTTCATTAACATCCTTGAGGCTTTTTTTGCTTATACAGCATTTAACAATTTGTCCACAGAAGATTTTTCTTTGATGACACATTGTTGAAACATTTAGCAGACACATAATCATCAGCAGAAAAACACCAATGTATGATGTCATCTGGGGGTGGATAAGTGAAACTGCACAATGACGAGAGAAAAAGAGTTTTATTTCAAACAGACAGGCATAATCTGTTATCAACCCATGTCAATAGGAATACAGTTGAAAGGCTCTAATAACCTTTGGTAGGTTTCTCTTTACAGACCCATCACATATTAAGAATCTGATACATTTTCACACCATTAGCAAAACACAACGATGGTTACATCAAAGAAAGCAAAGTGAGCTTTAAGGTATGACTACAGTGAGAAATAGTGATATATAATGTCATCATAATAGTAATCCTAATTATTTTATTTCATATTGACAGATTAAACACTAAGTGCTTCCCAAGAGCCTGTTTTCAAAGATTGAGGATGTGTGTGAAGTGTCCACATTTTAAAATAGCTTCTTTGCATCTCCATATTTGAAACATTGTCTACGGCTACATATACAGTCTGCAGAGACATGGATGAAAGCTTGACTTGACTGGTTAGCAGAGACAACTGCAGGGCAGTAAATCTAGTCTGCATTTGTAGCGCCCTCTAGTGCTCGATTTGAATGAGATTTTCAGGGTATGTTTGAGGTACCTGCACTGACATTCCTGAAAGTGTCCTAATGATTGGCCTATTTCTGTGCTAAGCCACGCCCACTCAAAGTTTATTGGTTAGTTGTACAAACTGGACCTACAGTTTAGGAGGAGATGTCATAAATAGGTTTGAAAAATATTGAAAATGGCAGAAAATGTAGTCAGGCAGATAGATGTCTGTGCCAAGTTCCATGTAAGTCGGACTTATGGTATAGGGGACTTTTCAAGTTCAAAATTTTTACCTTAAATTATGGCGCCCCAGTTTGGCTTATTGGGATCATATTTGTTGAGCAAGATTTGCACCCAACTTCCAGTCATAAGAGAAAATTGAATGTGTCTTTCAGCCCTTTGGCTATAATGATAAATGCAGTAGGTGAGCAAAGATACAGTAAAATGACCAAGTTGCAACCACAACACCAAAAACAACCTCTAATCAAAAATCACTCAAAGTCAAACTAATATCTGATCTGATTACCACATTAAGTCACACGATTAACATCAAAACCAAACACCTTTAGATATGTCATGTCCCTAAAACTCAGATTATATGTTCACTTTCACTCCAGTGCACATGTTGGTAGTGCTTTACAGCTTGCCCTGATCAGAGGGAATACACAGAGAATGCATAAAAAAGAATAAATGTGATTGATAGGAGACTCCCAATTCACAACAACAACAATTCCCTAAAATATACTGCATACATACTCAGTTTCAGACAAAGACAACTGATTTGTTGACAGCTGAATTACACAATGGCAGTATAGTATTGTGGTAGTGTGACATATACTGCTGCAGCTAGAGTCTAAAATAAAGCTGATTATAAGTGCTGATTATAAGTACTTCAGGGTCCTCAAGGTTTACACATTGCTGTGTTAACATGCTCACCTTACAGAACATTTAAATCATTTTCAATCATTTTTAATCATAATAAACCAGTGATGTCAGGGAGTGTTTGCCTTCTTTTTTCAGTTTTAATTTCCATCTGCCAAAACTTGTTCTCCCTCTGGGTTTTGCTGTGGTGCTTCTTGGCCTACCCCCTGCCTGTAAAAAAAAAGACATTAATATTAACATGAGCAGTGCACTGAGATATCAACTTCATCATCACTGAAGCAGGGCACTGTACTCAGGGGTTAAAGTGGGGCTTGGCCTGGTGGGGAAGCCCCCAAATCCATAGGAGCAGTGTAGTGGAGAAAAATGATTCATCTCAAAATAACTGCCAAACTGATTTGTACTGTCACCTGCGGTGGACTTGTTTTCTTTTTCAACAGGCTTTATGATCCTCTGACCTTCTTGGTACCTGACCCTATTTTATAGGCCTCTGCTCGAAAATTGCATATCCATAATGAAATGAATATATCTCTGCAACCACAAGGTCTATTTGAATACTTCTGGTGTCATGGTAAAGGGCACACTTGTGAGATTTGTTAAGATGTGTAAATATCAGTATATGTGTTATATGTGAAGAGTAAATGAAGATGGCACACAGCACAAATGAAATATTTTGAGGTTCGCCTAAAAAAAAAAGAAGCATTTTTAGGATGAGTATCCCTTTGGCATGATGCAGCAGCAACAGCAGCAGCAGCAGCAGCTCTAAACCTCTATTAAATCATATAGCTCAATATGTGAACATTAACTCTGCAAAGGCTGATTCTGATAAAGTGAAGCAAAACAACATTAGAGAGGTTATAGTACAGAAAATTCAGGTGAGCTCTCCAAAATTGCATCATGTTTGCATGCGATTTTTGTCATGTACAATCCTATTTCTTTCATTTTTGTTTCTGTAAATCCCTACTGATGTTTAGGGTATACACATACAACTGTCTGTTTCATTTTTTTACTCTGTTTCCCACTCCAAACTGACCAATATGCACCTACTACTGTACATTTGAACCTGTTTCTATTCTGAGATTTGGATGCCCGTAATTCCGCGACGGCTTGGCCGATTTGAGTGATTGACACCTCGTTTGATTCGTTAGAGCCAATAGAATGACGCCATACCCACCAAAACGAGACTGACAGCACTGTAAGCCAATCAGAGTCAGCAGAACGCGCAGTGGGGAGATGTCGGCTGCTGTGTGTGGTCATTGTTTTTGTTCCCCCGGAACCTTTTTTTCCGCCCGGATTCATTTGAATGACTGACAACTTTCGGTAGTACGCGAACGGAGCGTGAATGAACAGCAGAATGCGCATTTTACGGCGAAATTAATAAGCTAAGAGCCATATTACAAATATATTTTGGCAAAGAGATTTCTGTTGTTGTTGTTCTTTGGGCTGTAGCTCTGTGATGGTTAAAGGGAGAGTGATTTGGAGTATACATGTGGAAAGAGTGGAGTCTCAGCTTTCATTTGAGATGAATGGTGTGTGTTTTGAATAACATGTGGTCGAGTTGGAGCCCGAAATATACCGAGTGCGTTGGGATATCGATGCTGTTTGGAGTTAGTTGTTGTTGTTGTTTATTTAGTTGATGTTAAAACTGAGTTTGGGGCATGTAAAAAGTTTCTTTACAGCCTTGTAGCTGAGGTTCTGCTGTTAAATTTGATGGGCAACATCACTATATTCTTCTGATCAGTGTATTGATACCCCCCAGTTGGGGGACTTTAGGGCTCAACAGGTTTTAAGGCTGCTGTGGCTCTGGGCTGCATTCTACAATATAGGTATCAGCAGAGTTTACATGGGCTATCATTCAGTCAGGGCTGCTTTCCAAACCTTAGCCACAGCATCAACATGCAATTTGGCAAGTGATACTAAAGAGCGTCATCAGCTTAAATTCAAATTGATGACTGCTACCCTTGACCCAAGCTAACAGTGAGCATGGATACCAAAGCCTGTCCTGCATCAGGCCACATTAGTCCATTACTGTGAACTTTACCACAATACTGCAAACTACACAGTTACATAGCCTGTGTTTGTCCTAACTATCCAGTATTCTCACACAGACTCTGAATAACTCAAAAATGATTATCATTCATTCGTTGTTTTAACATCATTAGTTAACCTGATAACAAAATATTATGTGCATATCCACTGCTTGATAAAAAAAGATCATGAAAGAGTTACATTACTTATGTAAGCTTTAAATTTCCTCCACTTTATCTGAACATTCTTACCCGTGAGGATCTTCTGCCGGCCCCCTCTGTGCTCTTGTTCTCTCCATCTTTGAAAGAGAAGTTATCACACATTAGCATTAATAATATACTTTCTAATATGAGGACACTTCATGCTTCTCATGATATGATGCTGACAGGGAGTGCAGACAGACCAGGGGAGGAGGGACCTTGTAAGGGGTTTGTGACAGTCATTGCCAGCACGGCTGAACTAGACTATAATTAGTGTCCCCCGGCCGTCTGTGGCAAGTGCTGCTTGCGATGTCCATCAGAAACCCCCTTAGCAGGGCCTAGGGATGGCCGATACTAAACGTTTAAAATACTAACACCACTATCCTGACACCAAGCAAATAAGTCTACATATTGATGAGAGTGTAGCACCTGTGGCACAACCCTTGAGACGGGTGCCCTTCCATCTAAAGAAAGCAGTAGAGAAAAAAATAAATCAGCTGCTAGAAATGGACATTATAAAATAAGTAGATCTGCCCACACCATGGGTGAATCCTGTTGTACTCGCCCCAAAAGCAGCAGAAGGTGACATCAGAATGTGCCTCAATATGAGAAGAGCAAATGCAGCCATCATCAGAGAGATACCTGATTCCCACAGTGGACAAGCTTTTACAAGGAATGAATGGATCAGCCATTTTCAGAAAACTGGACCGAAAGTGGGGCTACCACCAGCTGGAGCTCACACCAGAGTCAAGAGACATCACTATGTTTGCAGTGCATACAGGTACCTCTAGGTTAGTCTCGCCACCAGACAATCAGAGATCTCCGCCTTCTGATAGTCTGGGGACACTCCTTTCTAAAGTGTGTTTAACACACTGGAGAAAACGGCCGGCAACAAAGCACCGCCTCTTGCATTTTTGAAAAGGACACGCCCTCCCGGAAATGTGCGCTCCCCCTTTTCTCGTCCGCCAATGCCAATGTATTGTTCGGCCGGACGGATGAGTCATGGCCTTGTAAAAGATTATGTTTGTTTCTTTTAGTTGGCGAGAATGTCGCCGCAAACGCAACAAACATCCACTAACTTTGAGGGCATTTTCTGCGAGCGCAGCGGAGCCATTTTGTACCGCTACACGTGTTTCTAGTCGGACTATGTGTACGAGCACAAGAGTTCAGCGAGCCACAGATGGACCGCGCTGCAGATTTACTATCGGTTCTGCAACGTAGGGAGTTTTTGTAAACTCTGAAATTGTATCCGTCCATCTAAACACAAAATCAGGGAGAAAGACATCAGTCTTTAGTTAAGCAAAGCGTCTAAAGACTGACTTGTGAGTCTACCTCTAGGTATAAGAGACTCATATTTGGCGTTTTCTCTGCAAGTGAACAATACCAACACGAAATTGCAACAACACTGTCTGGCATTGGTAGAGAATATCTCCGATGACATAATCGTTCATGCCCACGATCAACGACTCCATGCAGTTTTGTTAAGACTGGAGAGTTGTAGGCTGACCCTAAACACAGAGAGGTGTCAGTTTAACATGAACAAGTTAATATTCATGGGCATGCTACTTTCCAAAGAGGGCAATGGTCCCACCACAGAGAGAGTGAGAGCTGTAGCTGAGGCACAAGAACCTGAGAATGCATCGGAGGTACGCAGCTTTCTGGGCTTAGCTGGCTACAGTAGCCGATTACGTAATACCCCAGTTCACCAGCATATCAGAGCCTCTGTGGAGATAAACAAAGAAGGACACACCGTTTCACTTCGGGCCTGAGCAAAAACAAGCGTCCAAAGCGCTTAAAGAAAAACTAGCTGAGGCCGGCACTTTGGCATATTTGACAAGGATGCTCCCACCAAGGTCATAGCCAATGCAGGAACAGTCGGCATAGGAGCAGTTCTTGTTCAAGAACAGCATGCAACAATGCTGGTAATATGTTATGTAAGCAGAAGTCTGTCTGTGGCTTCATCTGAGCAGGTGAATGGCACTGTGGGGATGTAGGCACACTATCAATGAACATTTGTTTCAAATTTGAGGAAGATGCTCAAAGTATGACCATTCTACAGTGTTTTTTCCATGAAAAGATCCATGCGGAGCTCCACATGACAAGAGCGCTCACTCGGCTTCAAAACAGTACTATCAGTGATCAAACAACACTCAGCCAGCTTCAAACATTTTACCTTATTGAAATCAGGTGTGATTATGATAGCTGATGTTGTTTATGACACAGAAACACCATAAAATATCACCAAATAAAGCCATGTGAAACGTGAAAGTTGTGATCCCACTTTCTAGACGGTGTATCTCAGCCAAAAATAGTGGTACAAGTGAGACTCTTACCTTTTATAAAAGAGCTATGTGTCCACAGACGGCTCCACATAAGATCGCAAGTAATCTTTTAACTTTTCCTGTCGAAAAATGGCATGACATGACTTGTCACCACTCATCGCGATTTTGGACTTTGTGTGTTTAGGCTGCTCTGGTGCGAAATCCATAAAAAATAAAAGAAAAACAATGTTATTTTTGAAAAGCCAAGAGCTTCCTGAATCCGGCAGTACCAAACATCACATGGTTTGATGACGTAGTGCGCCTGTGAGATACCATTTAACAGAGGAGGGAGGAGCGAGGAGGGAGGGAGCAAGGACATCAGTGTCCAGGCGGAGAGGTTAAAACAAATATTTTACTATACACATTGTGAAGTGTCTAATTTCTTTCTACTCCATACAGGTACAGTAAAATATTGAAAATGTTTTTATTTGTTTGTTTGGTTTTTGACTTTGCCTTTAAAAACGCATGAAGCGGGGAGAGGTGAACAATATGAANGCTCGAAAATTGCATATCCATAATGAAATGAATATATCTCTGCAACCACAAGGTCTATTTGAATACTTCTGGTGTCATGGTAAAGGGCACACTTGTGAGATTTGTTAAGATGTGTAAATATCAGTATATGTGTTATATGTGAAGAGTAAATGAAGATGGCACACAGCACAAATGAAATATTTTGAGGTTCGCCTAAAAAAAAAAGAAGCATTTTTAGGATGAGTATCCCTTTGGCATGATGCAGCAGCAACAGCAGCAGCAGCAGCAGCTCTAAACCTCTATTAAATCATATAGCTCAATATGTGAACATTAACTCTGCAAAGGCTGATTCTGATAAAGTGAAGCAAAACAACATTAGAGAGGTTATAGTACAGAAAATTCAGGTGAGCTCTCCAAAATTGCATCATGTTTGCATGCGATTTTTGTCATGTACAATCCTATTTCTTTCATTTTTGTTTCTGTAAATCCCTACTGATGTTTAGGGTATACACATACAACTGTCTGTTTCATTTTTTTACTCTGTTTCCCACTCCAAACTGACCAATATGCACCTACTACTGTACATTTGAACCTGTTTCTATTCTGAGATTTGGATGCCCGTAATTCCGCGACGGCTTGGCCGATTTGAGTGATTGACACCTCGTTTGATTCGTTAGAGCCAATAGAATGACGCCATACCCACCAAAACGAGACTGACAGCACTGTAAGCCAATCAGAGTCAGCAGAACGCGCAGTGGGGAGATGTCGGCTGCTGTGTGTGGTCATTGTTTTTGTTCCCCCGGAACCTTTTTTTCCGCCCGGATTCATTTGAATGACTGACAACTTTCGGTAGTACGCGAACGGAGCGTGAATGAACAGCAGAATGCGCATTTTACGGCGAAATTAATAAGCTAAGAGCCATATTACAAATATATTTTGGCAAAGAGATTTCTGTTGTTGTTGTTCTTTGGGCTGTAGCTCTGTGATGGTTAAAGGGAGAGTGATTTGGAGTATACATGTGGAAAGAGTGGAGTCTCAGCTTTCATTTGAGATGAATGGTGTGTGTTTTGAATAACATGTGGTCGAGTTGGAGCCCGAAATATACCGAGTGCGTTGGGATATCGATGCTGTTTGGAGTTAGTTGTTGTTGTTGTTTATTTAGTTGATGTTAAAACTGAGTTTGGGGCATGTAAAAAGTTTCTTTACAGCCTTGTAGCTGAGGTTCTGCTGTTAAATTTGATGGGCAACATCACTATATTCTTCTGATCAGTGTATTGATACCCCCCAGTTGGGGGACTTTAGGGCTCAACAGGTTTTAAGGCTGCTGTGGCTCTGGGCTGCATTCTACAATATAGGTATCAGCAGAGTTTACATGGGCTATCATTCAGTCAGGGCTGCTTTCCAAACCTTAGCCACAGCATCAACATGCAATTTGGCAAGTGATACTAAAGAGCGTCATCAGCTTAAATTCAAATTGATGACTGCTACCCTTGACCCAAGCTAACAGTGAGCATGGATACCAAAGCCTGTCCTGCATCAGGCCACATTAGTCCATTACTGTGAACTTTACCACAATACTGCAAACTACACAGTTACATAGCCTGTGTTTGTCCTAACTATCCAGTATTCTCACACAGACTCTGAATAACTCAAAAATGATTATCATTCATTCGTTGTTTTAACATCATTAGTTAACCTGATAACAAAATATTATGTGCATATCCACTGCTTGATAAAAAAAGATCATGAAAGAGTTACATTACTTATGTAAGCTTTAAATTTCCTCCACTTTATCTGAACATTCTTACCCGTGAGGATCTTCTGCCGGCCCCCTCTGTGCTCTTGTTCTCTCCATCTTTGAAAGAGAAGTTATCACACATTAGCATTAATAATATACTTTCTAATATGAGGACACTTCATGCTTCTCATGATATGATGCTGACAGGGAGAGCAGACAGACCAGGGGAGGAGGGACCTTGTAAGGGGTTTGTGACAGTCATTGCCAGCACGGCTGAACTAGACTATAATTAGTGTCCCCCGGCCGTCTGTGGCAAGTGCTGCTTGCGATGTCCATCAGAAACCCCCTTAGCAGGGCCTAGGGATGGACGATACTAAACGTTTAAAATACTAACACCACTATCCTGACACCAAGCAAATAAGTCTACATATTGATGAGAGTGTAGCACCTGTGGCACAACCCTTGAGACGGGTGCCCTTCCATCTAAAGAAAGCAGTAGAGAAAAAAATAAATCAGCTGCTAGAAATGGACATTATAAAATAAGTAGATCTGCCCACACCATGGGTGAATCCTGTTGTACTCGCCCCAAAAGCAGCAGAAGGTGACATCAGAATGTGCCTCAATATGAGAAGAGCAAATGCAGCCATCATCAGAGAGATACCTGATTCCCACAGTGGACAAGCTTTTACAAGGAATGAATGGATCAGCCATTTTCAGAAAACTGGACCGAAAGTGGGGCTACCACCAGCTGGAGCTCACACCAGAGTCAAGAGACATCACTATGTTTGCAGTGCATACAGGTACCTCTAGGTTAGTCTCGCCACCAGACAATCAGAGATCTCCGCCTTCTGATAGTCTGGGGACACTCCTTTCTAAAGTGTGTTTAACACACAGGAGAAAACGGCCGGCAACAAAGCAACGCCTCTTGCATTTTTGAAAAGGACACGCCCTCCCGGAAATGTGCGCTCCCCCTTTTCTCGTCCGCCAATGCCAATGTATTGTTCGGCCGGACGGATGAGTCATGGCCTTGTAAAAGATTATGTTTGTTTCTTTTAGTTGGCGAGAATGTCGCCGCAAACGCAACAAACATCCACTAACTTTGAGGGCATTTTCTGCGAGCGCAGCGGAGCCATTTTGTACCGCTACACGTGTTTCTAGTCGGACTATGTGTACGAGCACAAGAGTTCAGCGAGCCACAGATGGACCGCGCTGCAGATTTACTATCGGTTCTGCAACGTAGGGAGTTTTTGTAAACTCTGAAATTGTATCCGTCCATCTAAACACAAAATCAGGGAGAAAGACATCAGTCTTTAGTTAAGCAAAGCGTCTAAAGACTGACTTGTGAGTCTACCTCTAGGTATAAGAGACTCATATTTGGCGTTTTCTCTGCAAGTGAACAATACCAACACGAAATTGCAACAACACTGTCTGGCATTGGTAGAGAATATCTCCGATGACATAATCGTTCATGCCCACGATCAACGACTCCATGCAGTTTTGTTAAGACTGGAGAGTTGTAGGCTGACCCTAAACACAGAGAGGTGTCAGTTTAACATGAACAAGTTAATATTCATGGGCATGCTACTTTCCAAAGAGGGCAATGGTCCCACCACAGAGAGAGTGAGAGCTGTAGCTGAGGCACAAGAACCTGAGAATGCATCGGAGGTACGCAGCTTTCTGGGCTTAGCTGGCTACAGTAGCCGATTACGTAATACCCCAGTTCACCAGCATATCAGAGCCTCTGTGGAGATAAACAAAGAAGGACACACCGTTTCACTTCGGGCCTGAGCAAAAACAAGCGTCCAAAGCGCTTAAAGAAAAACTAGCTGAGGCCGGCACTTTGGCATATTTGACAAGGATGCTCCCACCAAGGTCATAGCCAATGCAGGAACAGTCGGCATAGGAGCAGTTCTTGTTCAAGAACAGCATGCAACAATGCTGGTAATATGTTATGTAAGCAGAAGTCTGTCTGTGGCTTCATCTGAGCAGGTGAATGGCACTGTGGGGATGTAGGCACACTATCAATGAACATTTGTTTCAAATTTGAGGAAGATGCTCAAAGTATGACCATTCTACAGTGTTTTTTCCATGAAAAGATCCATGCGGAGCTCCACATGACAAGAGCGCTCACTCGGCTTCAAAACAGTACTATCAGTGATCAAACAACACTCAGCCAGCTTCAAACATTTTACCTTATTGAAATCAGGTGTGATTATGATAGCTGATGTTGTTTATGACACAGAAACACCATAAAATATCACCAAATAAAGCCATGTGAAACGTGAAAGTTGTGATCCCACTTTCTAGACGGTGTATCTCAGCCAAAAATAGTGGTACAAGTGAGACTCTTACCTTTTATAAAAGAGCTATGTGTCCACAGACGGCTCCACATAAGATCGCAAGTAATCTTTTAACTTTTCCTGTCGAAAAATGGCATGACATGACTTGTCACCACTCATCGCGATTTTGGACTTTGTGTGTTTAGGCTGCTCTGGTGCGAAATCCATAAAAAATAAAAGAAAAACAATGTTATTTTTGAAAAGCCAAGAGCTTCCTGAATCCGGCAGTACCAAACATCACATGGTTTGATGACGTAGTGCGCCTGTGAGATACCATTTAACAGAGGAGGGAGGAGCGAGGAGGGAGGGAGCAAGGACATCAGTGTCCAGGCGGAGAGGTTAAAACAAAAATTTTACTATACACATTGTGAAGTGTCTAATTTCTTTCTACTCCATACAGGTACAGTAAAATATTGAAAATGTTTTTATTTGTTTGTTTGGTTTTTGACTTTGCCTTTAAAAACGCATGAAGCGGGGAGAGGTGAACAATATGAAGCAATGAAGGTTCTGGTAATAGTACTGGCAAGACTTTAAAACTACTTTCCCCCCTGTATATAAGTAATATCAATCTGTTGATAGAAATGTTATTTTATATGCAAATATTTTAATAAACTATTTTTCTTGTTTAAGTACATGGGATCTTAGGATTTTTTTTTTACCGTGGTATCGACTTTGGTATCGAGAATCGTGTAATTTTACTGGTATCGGCACCGACTACTGAATTTTTGGTATCGTGACATCCCTAGTACAGACTACAGTATCACTGCCATTTAATAGAACCTCAAGCCTGAGGGCCCCACACAGTACTTTTCTATATTTAACAGCCTAGATCCTAATATTACCCGAGGCACTGGCAACCCTCTATCTTCGCACCAGTACCCAAAGCACACACGGGCACGCTCCAGTGGCTCTTCATCAGTCTTCTTACAGTAAACCCTGATCAGCGTCTCAGAAAAGCATGTTGGGAGGAGGCTGGACACCTGACAAGAATGACAACAGCATAAACTTGAGAAAAATGCCATACTGTAACAGAGGCTGTCTTATAAAGAAATACACCCAAGGAAAAAATAGCTCATGGAAAGACAGAGATGATTTTGTTGTCATTGCATTAGTTCTGACCCGCTCTCTGGGGATATGGAATGCTCTGGTAGGATCTCTCTTGCTGTAGAAATACACCTTTTCAATTGGGTCTTTGTCTTTCCTCCCATAGTCCATAGTACTGTCCTAAAAGAGAAGGGTTAGACAGAGCCCTATTTAACATTCACAAGTTAATTATGACAAGCATCTCACAAAATAAATCTCAATCCACAAAAGCCAAGATTGAAAGAAAAGTGAAGTAAAAGTGATAAGACGAAAAACTCACTAAAACTACAAAGTCCTCTGGGTTTAGCCTGTCCTCCTGAAGGTCACTAAGCAATGCCTCTTTCCACCTGGGAAACATCTTTTTAAGGAGGGAGGATAAAAGATGACAAGTGGGAGGGGCAAGAGGTTTGAGTTATAGTCCATCTTGACAACACACAGTAAGGATATGTCCACATTAGAAATTTAAATTAAAAAAACATATTTTTGTTTCTCATTTTTGGCCATCTGTCCACACTGAAACATGATCAGTTATTCAAAGGTTCAAAACGATATTCAGAGTATATAAATCTTAATATGAATATTTTACTGTGTATGGGGAAAATGGGGAAAATCTACAGCACAGACACGCTAGAGTTAACTTGTAAGTCATATCAACACGTTCACATCCCAACTTTTCAAATACCGCCGCTTTGTAAGTGGATATACGTGTCAAAATATGACGCACTAGGTACCCTCATGCGCCTGTTTTGGTAGTAGGGCGTAGTGCCATTACAAACTGCTGCCAACATATCACCATGAAAGGTGCTTCTGTGCGTCGGTCTCTGATGCCAAAGTCACTGACAAAGCGGCAGTATTTGGCGAGCTAGGAGGGAGAACAGGCTATATCTTCACAAAGGCAGTAATTCCGAGCATGTTTTGATTAAGTATCTAAATAACAATATTTGCAAAGTGAATGTGAAGTATAACGTGAATACTTTCTATGCCATTACTCAGAAACTGATGTTAATGATATGGAGCAATGATCAGCAGTAATGTAAACAAACGAGACCAGCTGATCAACACATGCTGCAGCGTTAAACAACTTAAAACCTCTGCTGTGAAGAAAATAAATCTGTGCTCAGTCTGTTTCACCTCAAAAATCTTGTTCCTGGTCCGCTCAGCATCTTGGCTTTACCTGGAGCTAACGGAGAGAAACCCTGCTCTCCACTGCTGGAGACGTCAGTAACAACACAGCGAAGCACCTCCCCCTCATTGTGTTACTCTTATGCAGGCTGGAGAATGTAAAGTGCTTTCAAATCAACTAAGTCATTAACTGATGAAGTTTACTTTTTAAAATAAAAAGGCTGCATACTAATTATAATTTGACACTATGTGAGTTACATACTGTTTCCTATGAAACGTTACAGTATGCAAATACTGGACACTGTGACGACATAAATATCCCCACAATGGATTAGCAGGAGCAACCGTAGATGGCTGCAATCTGACTGGAACTCCCTGGTTTAAAAGTTAGGGCATGGAAGCATTTCAGCCTCTATGAAGTTGAAAGAGGGATCTGGTCAAGTCACATTGTGTGCATGTAAATTCATCTGTTTATTTAATTATGGTAGTCACACAGTGGGAAAAAGAAATGATGTATAGAAATCTATAGAATTTATAGAAATACATTTTGATGCATAAAGGTGCAGCGATAATTGTATAGTAATTGTAATTGTAATAGTAATTGTGACTGATAGGAATGTGTTGCGCTCCACATGACATCCAGGTACAATACCCAAAGAGACATCTGCGCTCATCAACCACAAAAGGAGCACAACATCCAGTTCTGTTATAACAAAACCTGCTCTTATGATCATTGGTGTACTTATAGCTGCAGTGAAATAGATAACATGTCAAACTGAAGTGTTTTGCTGTACAGGCACAAAAACACATGGTGCACACCTTGATTTGGCTTGGTTTACACTTTGTTTCAGCCAGTAACTTGTAGTGGTTTCGAGTGATGATCCTCTGTAGAATCTCCCTCGCCTCAACCAAGCCCTGATCGGAGGAGTTGAGTATTTGGTTAAAGACAAAATCTACAGGACAAACAACAGAGCAGAAGACAGATCAGTTAGAACAAACCAAAGACAAGGTCACAAAATCATTAGTAGTGTTTCACAAATAAACAACTGACACTGTAAACTAAGAGGTTTAACTCACCAATATATCTGATAAAATTACTTCTGCTTAATGAAAAAACATGAATAAACCTGAGCAAGTTTGTTCTGCTCTCAATTATTTGCTAAACCCAACTGTCTGATCATAGCTTAGCAACATTAGCTCGGCATGGTGAGTTTTTGAGCCCATAAAGACGATCTTTGTCTCACTCGAGGGTCAGACGTAAGATTCGTCCATGTCTTTGTGTTAGTTTATAAATAGTGGTGACCTTGCTTGCTAAGCTGTTATTGTTGTAACTAAACTGCTAAAGTGCACAAATAAAGTGGGTCGGCTGTAAGACATGATGTCAGCTGATGACATGATGTGTGCAGGTAAGTTGCCTAACTGAGCCATTTACCACCAAAATTCTTAGAATAATTCAGACAATTGTCAGTGTTTCATATCATTTATGTTAGTAAATAAAAACAATCAAACACAAGAAGTAATACTGACAGGAGTCTGACAGAATATGTTTGGACAATTCAGAAGACATGTAGTCTTTGTTGAACATGGCACAGATGGTGGTTTGTGTATCCTGCCCACTCCTCCCTCTGCATTAATGTTAAAACACAAGCTTACAGCACACAGTGGTATCTACAGACCTGTCAGCTTGGTGTAGGCCTCCATGTTATCTTTGGCTGTGGAGAGAGTGAACATCTCCTCTTCTGAGCCTTCAATCTGGATGTGCTCGTCTGCTTTTACAAAGGCCTCTGCAATCCTGGATAATCATATACAATATGTGATCACCAATGTCTATTATACAAGAGAGTCAATTGTATGAAATAAGCTACATCATACAGCAGACAAAGCAAAATGTTGTTTCAGTATAAACCTGAGAAGGGTCAGTACTTACATGAACTCCATGATGTTGTTCACACTGTGCTGGTAGGCTCTTCTGTGGAGACTGTACCTTGTGTGGAACATGTCATACAGATTGTTCACCTCCTATTAAAAGAATTACATGTATTTTAGTAACATCTAATCATCTGAACAGATTGTTGATTTAAAATCCGATCAAAAAGAAGATGTAGCAAAGTCAGCACCTTGTCCCTAGAGCAGATGTGCATCTGCCCGTCCAACTCACACACCCTGGCAAACATAAAGTAGCGGAGATGGTCAAAGTTGTTCCGGATGCCCAGGTGGTGGCAGTCCCTGAGAGGAGACAGTAAAGAAATGTGTGAAGAAAATAGGCTTTTTATGAAAAACTAAACAAAGCACCCTGGAGATTGCTCCATAATGTTAAAATCAGGAGAATGTTGTAATTGTTCTGGGGAAATAACACATAATAATTTATCACTCTGCATCACAAAGTGAATTTCTCTTCAGAAGCTGAACAACAAGCCTCACCTGGCAAAGTAGTCAAACTTGTCCACATCAATGCCATTTGGTTTGTTGGCCACAATTTCATAGAGGAAGGACTTATCCTATGAACGGCCTTCATATGGCCACTGCAGAGATGACAGCACATTATTGACATTAGACACTGGCTGCTGTAGTAATAATGATACTGAATGATTTCAAACAGTTTACACAGGCAGGACTGATGTTCTGCACCTTTTAGTCAGTTCAGATAACTCTGTATGACCCTTTAGGAGTGACTCCTGAGGCAGGCACAGTAAAAAGAAACATACAGCGAGACATTTAAGGAGAAATACATGACAGACAACCAGTGACCACGTGGTAAAGAAATACAGTCCACAGCACAACATTAGTACCAAACATACCAGGATGTTCTACTATATCCTGTCTGATTTTGCAGTATGCAAGCCAGCATGCTTTTCTGGCTACTCTGACCCACAATCCTCTGCGCACGTCACATCGACTGAGCCACAAACACATGACAGCTTCACACCTCGTTAACATCTGTTTGACAGCTGACTGACGGCTGTCAGAAGGTGCAATGACAGATGACAGCGCTTTTAACCAGTGGAACAGGAATAATAGGAAAATTAATTGTTGAAGAAAACAAAATAATCATCAATATTAGAAACAACAATTGGACATAACGACGGAAATAACAGTTAAAGAGAACTGCAGATTTAATCTCACTGTTGCAAATATAATATGTTAGAATCTACAATCTGTGCAGTCATAACTTTTGAGTTCAACTAGACATATTTCAAAGTAACAACAGCAGAGCTCTACGGGTTGATCTCCATCTCTGGCGAACTTGGTGAGTGGCGTTTGTTGTATCTCCAAGGTAACGGATATAAAAGCAAGACGGTCAAAGTTCAGGGCGTAATGTTATGAGAAAGTAGTATGTCCCGGCTGTGTTCATACTGCATGCAACAGTACGTACTTTTTAGGAGCAGCTGCAGCACCTACTAGAAGTAAAAATATTAAGTATGCAATTTGGAACAAACCTTATCAACTTTCTCTGGGTCCGGTCCTGCAATCATCTCTTTGATGAAGGTCTGGTCCTCAGGCAGCACCAGGCCGTACCTCTCCATCTCCTGCTGTAGGCCATTACGTTCCACTAGGTGGTCAAACATCTGTAGAGAGGCGTCCTCATGCTGCAAGATACATAGATTCATCAATATATGAGAATTAATAGCAAAAATATAGATAGATAGATAGATAGATAGATAGATAGATAGAAAGATAGATAGATAGATAGATAGATAGATAGATAGATAGATAGATAGATAGATTGATGCTCAATAATGGGTGTTGGTGTGTAAAACCAACAACAGAGACTCTCAGTTTCATGTATTACAAATGTTTCGTGTGGGTTCATTATACCAAGGTTTGACGTTTACATTATACTGCTGACATTTATTACAGCACCAATAATTAATGTCAGGAGAATCAACATTTTCACTGTTGTTGTTGTTCCATTGTTAAATATGTCATGTTGATGTCACTTAATTTCAGGATGCACCTATTAATAGCCTTGCTGACTGCCAATGGCCTATTAGCAAATAAGATGACATCCACCGATGGCAGTGGCAGATGTTTTCCTGTTGTACCACATCAGTAGTGACAATAGAAAACATATTTGGGATGAACAGAGATCTTCCTCGGGACGATGTCGGGATGAAAGGACAAAGTAAAGTAACCATCGACACGTCAGGTNAGGAGTGATTCCTGAGGCAGGCACAGTAAAAAGAAACATACAACAAGACATATAAGGAGAAATATATGACAGACAACCAGTGACCAAGTGGTAAAGAAATACAGTCCACAGCACAACATTAGTACCAAACATACCAGGATGTTCTACTACATCCTGTCCGATTTTGCAGTATGCAAGCCAGCATGCTTTTCTGGCTACTCTGACCCACAATCCTCTGCGCACGTCACATCGACTGAGCCACAAACACATGACAGCTTCACACCTCGTTAACACCTGTTTGACAGCTGATTGATATAACATATTATATTTGTAACAGTGAAATTACATCTGCAGTTCTCTTTTAAGTAACTGATGTAATGATAGGAAAATTAATTGTTGAAGTAAACAAAATAATCATCAATATTAGAAACAACAATTGGACATAACGATGGAAATAACAGTTAAAGAGAACGGCAGATTTAATCTCACTGTTGCAAATATAATATGTTAGAATCTACAATCTGTGCAGTCATAACTTTTGAGTTCAACTACACACATTTCGAAGTAACAGCAGAGCTCTACGGGTTGATCTTATTAGCTAGGAACAAAGGAACAAACCTCATCAACTGTCTCTGTGTGCGGTTCTCCCTGTCTTTTTTTGAGTGGTCCTGCAATCATCTCTTAGATGAAGGTCAGGTCCACAGGCAGCACCAGGCCGTACCTCTCCATCTCCTGCTGTAGGCCATTACGTTCCACTAGGTGATAAAACATCTGTACAGAGGCATCCTCATGCTGCAAGATACATAGATTCATCAATATATGAGAATTAATAGCAAAAGTATAGATAGATAGATAGATAGATAGATGCCCAGTGACGGGTGTTGGTGTAAAACCAACAACAGTGACTCTCTCCAAAATCTGCACAAACTCTGCCTCGCGAATGACACAATTTCATGTATTACAAATGTTTTGTGTGGGTTCATTATACCAAGGTTTGACGTTTACATTATACTGCTGACATTTATTACAGCACCAATAATTAATGTCAGGAGAATCAACATTTTCAATGTTGTTGTTGTTCCATTGTTAAATATGTCATGTTGATGTCATTTAATTTCAGGATGCACTTATTAATAGCCTTGCTGACTGCCATTGGCCTATTAGCAAATAAGATGACATCCACCGATGGCAGTGGCCGATGTTTTCCTTTTGTACCACATCAGTAGTGACAATAGAAAACATGTTTGGGATGAACAGAGATCTTCCTCGGGACGCTGTCAGGATGAAAGGACAAAGTAAAGTAACCATCGACACGTCAGGTGACACACCATATCGTTTCCTTGACAATGCCACATTGTGAACAACTAATCTGTGTTTGACATCAGCAGGAGGAGAATTAATTAACGTATTAATCACATTATGATGTGTTCAAGCTCTTTTCAGTAAAATGAGTATTGGGCAAAGGTTGTTCTCATGAGGTGTTCAAATGTGATCTTGTAAAATGTAGTGTTTGGTGAGAAACTTTAATAAATGCAGTTGTTTGAAGAAGAAATTTGTTGATGTATCCAATATGAAACAAATATTAGAGAGGGAATTTATGAAATATAGTAATAAGGCTTTTGAAGCAGTTATTTTAGTTCTTTCTTCTAAATTTGTATGAATACATTTGTGCTCATTCAAAGATAGCATAATGAAGGACTGAACAGTTATTTTTTCATAATTAATATTATTATTAAATTGATATTTTAAACATGAGTATGAGCCCAGAATTACACAGCTGATGGATTCCATATTTAATTGCACACATTATATATTACATAATAGGTCCAAACTTGGGTAAAGGAACATCTGTTCACAGAGGTGTAAGTATCACTTTCTTCCTGAGTCTGTGTTCTGTGCTTGGGTTCAC